TACTGTCCATTTCAGTGTTCCCAAATGTGAATCTTTATTTAAACTATGAAAAATGTATTAGAAATGAACCAAAAGGATAAAAAAAAATGTAAACAAATAAAATTACAGTTCGTTTTTTGTTTTGTTTTCCTTCTTAACTATTTTTTACGGATATTACAGTTGAAGGAGAAAGTATAAAAAATGAAAGAAAATAAAAAATTTAGAATTGAAGTGAAGTTTATGGAACCCATGTTGATTCAGGAACTAATATATTTATCCTTGAGGGAATATTGAAAGTTATCATCTTGTTGAAAAATTTATTCTGTCGTTTTATTATTATTTTTCTTTTATATAACCACTATTTGAGTTAAGAAACACAAAACACTATAAACGAATATTAGATAAATTCAGGAAAAAAAAAATCCGATTCTTAAAATTATTATTTCAGTGGCTTGCAAACTTGAAATTTTATTAAATCACATTGATTATGATTGATTATTGATTAATATTTCCACTTTATTATCACTCCCTTCGTTCATTGTATCGGAAACATAATCGTGAGGTTAATACTACAACTAGATACCTCGAAAATTTTATATTTTTATATAATTAACCTAGGCGTCATAAAGTCGAATACTCTTTCATCTGCCACCAATATCTAAAGTTAAAAGTGCTTTAAATATCTGAAAATGATAATACTAAGACTAGATATCTTTACGATAAATTATTTGTTACTGCTAAATTTTGCATCATTAAAAGTCAACATCTCTAAACCAATAAAGACGAGTTATCCAGTTGTAGCATTAACCTCACGATATGTCCATCTTTAAGGTGCAATATTACCCCAGATATTTTCATATGTATATCTAAATTATTTTATTGTCATTAGTTTTTCCAAAATTAAAAAAAATATTCAATAAAAGGAAATTCATTTAGAAGTAAATATTAGTAAGCCCAAAAAAAAAAAAGGTAAGTATCAACTTAAAAGGAAGAAAACAAAAATACTGCGTTCAAAATGATTGTTTGTCAACGAAATTTTTATCTTTCACAAATAATGTGAACGGGGAAGATAAAAGTTTTGGCATATATTCTTCATTTAAAAACTCGTTCGAACTTTTTGTTTAAACTAGGCTTTATTTATTTGCTGTATTCAATAATATTGTCTACTGTGTGATATCAACAAACTAATTTCGAGCTTTTTGCAACTCCGTTTTCACAAATAACCATCTTAGTGAAATAAAGAATTAATATACCTGAATTGTAATACGTCATATTAGCTATGCGGAATGTGAGAAGAGATTTTAATTTTAATCCTGCGAAATCTTGATTTTTACCAGTGTGATATAGAATAATAATTTTGGGACTAACTATTCAAAATGTAAATTTTGTTGTACATTTTGGTTATTTGAGCTTCCGAAATACGTTTAAAAGAATGAAATTTAAGATTATATTGTTTTGAAGTACTGAAACTGATATTTAAGTGAGTTTTCGTTTGAACACATTATTTTGATTGACACATTGATTCTTGCTGTCATGTTCAATATTAGGCATTTCCACTTGTTATTAAAAGGAAATTTATTTTGATTTTACTGATCGTATACGGGTCAAGCTTTTACATAATCCATTAAACAGGAATTGAGAAACTTTTATTTGAAATGGTATTTTGTATTAAAAGAATCTAATTTCCGTGACTTCCAAAACGCAGTATAAAGATTGAATACGATTCCAATACCGTCTTAATTAACAGTTTTACTACAAAGAAAATATTTTTAAACCGCCAGCATTGTATTTAAGCTTTCGCTACATTTTCGAATAATAGCAATGTGACGATATTGTACGTTGTTGGTTTTTTAAATTTGCTTCTAATAAATTTTTGTTTCAAACAATATTTTTTTTAATAATCCGTACAAATAAATATGTATAAAAGAAGAAAATACTTAAAAATTTTCTAAAGACGATGTAATTTACATATAATAATTTGTTGTTTTGCCTTTATATTTCCTCAAATTTCCTTGTTGTTTTAAGAAATATTTCAAGGACATTTTTCTGAATTAGTTTCCTAAATGAATTTTTTAGCGCATCATAAACAAAGCAATCGATTTTAATTTTAATAGTGTGGAAATAAATTAAAAATAATAAAAAATATGTTGATTAAAAAACAAAAAATTTAATGTGGTCAGCACACAACCGACCGCAATGTTTATTGTCTAGATTAGTAAAAGTATTCTATAAGGTTATGAAAATGCATTTTAAATACTTCTTTACAATTTCAAGCATACTAATAGTCTTTTAGTTAACATACCTAGAAAAATTTTAATTTGGCTTTAAGTAGAGTTTCATTTATGTAAAAATTTTATGTATAAAATGTAAAATCGGACCCAGATAAGTTTCCGAGCCCTGACCTTTCCAAAAAAATTATAGATTCATTGCTTTAACACCACGAACTAATTTAAATATAAAATTTCAATGAAATCGGTTGATTATTTGTCTTTATATACGTAAAAATGTATACTTGGCCCGTAGTAAACGTCCAGTTGCTCACACCTGACTTTTTCCAAAAGTTAGGAGGTTTCGCGTACAATCGAATGAAGTAAAATGATCAAGGCAGGTCCGTTAAAAGGTCCAGTTCCCGAGGCCTGATATATCCCGAAAGTTGGTTAATCCGTGCCATAGTCGAAATAAACTTACATATAAAATTTCATCAAAGTCAGTTCAGCCGAACTTGACAAAAAAAAGTTTATTTAGACGTTCCTACCATGAAGAAGTGCGTTCTCACCGAAAACTCGACATCCAAAATTTGGTGCTATCACATAACCCACCTTATTGTATACATAATGCGGTCGGTAAAAAGAATATATGCTATTTCAATGAAAATAGACAAAAGATTAACTTGGCAGATTTCAGATACTCTAAATTTCTAACATTTAATATAAAAATATTCTGATTTTTTTAGCTCTGTTTTTATTTTATGTTGCGTATTAGATGCATTTTGCAATATGACGCATTATATATTTACATTGTATTACAAGGATAGCGTTGACTTTATATTATTCAAAGTAGTTCTGTATGATTCGAACATAAGAAACATACAAAACTGCTTCAAATTAATTAACCTTGTAAATAAATAAAATAAAATCAGGTTTTTATACAAGAGCTACTAAAAAACTCCGGAATAAACTTTTTTCTCTATATTCTGCAATTATTTATTTCAACTACTAGGCTAAATGCGAGAACTGACGCAAATTTGGAGCTGCCGAATGGAAAATCTAAAACGTGATCTTTAAGCAAATGACAGTAGTTAATCAACTCAAAAAAAGAATACATGTGAATTTGAAATTTTTCTGTATTTTTCCTTATTTAATTATGAAGCACTAAAAAAATAACCCATTAAAGTGTGTGCATAAATATGATGCATGACCTATAAGTTTAGAATTTTTTGTTATGTTTTGGAATTAAATGAACTTTAATCTTATGAAACAAATTCCCAATATCCAATGAAGCATTAAAGTAAATTTAAATTATTGGTAAAATTATGAATACTTTTTTTTACAGTCTCTCAATCTACGTTTATCATATTTGTGGGATCAAATATTCCTGAAATTCTTAAAATATTTTAAGTGTTTATACCAAATATTTATACAAGATTTATTATTCTTTCTTGGTTATATTTGCATATTTGTTTCTTTTATTCAATGTAAGCACTTTCGGAAATTTACAAAAAAATTTTGATAATCTCTGTTTCATTGGAAATTAACTTGAATTTCTGATCCGTGAATAAATTTAAAGTAATAAATGTATCTAAAATACAATTATACAAGTATGTATATATATACATACAAATATTACTTTGTCTACATACCATAATATACAAAGTACATACATAAATGCATGAATATAAAATTTGTAGTAGGTCTGAGTAATTGAAACATTTTGTGGATTACAAATTTTGGAGCAAAAAAATTGTAATAATATGAAAATCTAGGAAAAAGAAAAAAAGAAAACCAAAATAAATCAAAAGATCTTTGGTTGACCTTTACAAACTAATACGTTGTACAAAATCTTAAAATATGAAATAAAATATCAGCTTAAGAAACTATGGTAGAATTTTTTAGAAGAAATTTTAGGAAAATCGCAGGAACACTGTAGCAATAATGTACAGTTATAACAATATCTATTATAACTAATATCAATAATAGTTGTAATCTGCAGACAGAGAATGTAAGCCCTAAGAATCATTAATAAACTTCAAGTAATTATCGTATCGGCTGAAAGAGTTTGAATGTTTTAAGAGCAAAAAAACTAATTTTTTGAATTTGTACTTAATAAACAATATAAAATAATTGTTATACTCAGCTAAGTTTGATTTAACGATTTCGGTTCAGGTGCATCATGCAAAATACGTGATCAAACGAAAGTTTAACGCGAATTATGTAAGTTCCAAGCAAATATTGAAACCACAATAGTTCGGATTCATATAATTTTACTTCAAATTTGAGTAAGATTTAAAACTCTTCATTCACATTAAATTCTAGACTATCATCAAAAATGTATAAAATGAAAAACTTTTATTGGTACCTAGTAGCTACTACGAGTATCTATAAACCTTTCATCCACTCTACCTATGCTTTGTGTGCACATATTGATTTTTATATTTTTTGAAACCTATATTATTGCAACACAAAATGGAATGATAATATTTGCTCAGTTTCTCTTTATTCTAAAAAATGGAAAGTGTTTTTTGGAGTAGAAAAGCTTTTTGTCAGTTTACTTTGTTTTTCTATACTTTATTTATTCGTTTACGGTTTACGCAGTGAAGAGTCTTAAAAGGTTGAATATGAAATTAATTTAAAGAAAAAACTAAAACGAATATTTGCGAAAAGTATTCCAAGATCAGAAACGTTAAAAAAAGTCATTTTGTTAAAGTGAACAAAAGAGTTAATAAAAAAATTTTGCAAAAAAATTTTGTTTCTTAAAAATAAGGATCATTTCCAGTTTATTATTCGTTTTTACGAATTAATTCCCTAAGTCAAATTTTGGTTCTTGACTGTGAAATCAAAATTTAATTGTAAAAATTTATGATTTTAAAAATTAAAGCTATTTATTAAGAAATTGTGTACTTACCATTACCATGATGATGCAAATTTCGCGATCTAGGTGGAGGTCTTGGTGGTAGAGGCGGTCCTTGATCTTCTTCCGATGTACAACCATCTGTTACTTTAACACCAGAATCGGTTGCATCACTATAAACTTCGATTCGACTTGAACAATCTTTTTCATCTTCAGAAAATTTTTTCACACTTTTTCCACGTGACGTTATTATACGTTGTTGCATTTTATTTCTAAAAGTAGATGAAGAAAGTTGTAAGAAATTCAATTTCATTGAATTCGAAAATAAAAATTTTATTACGGACATTAACGTGAAAAACTTACTTCTATTAACTTGTCTCTTATTTAGGCTCATATTGTTAGTGCCAGTCAGAAATGTTACGCGTGCAATAGCAAAAGTAAACGCAATTTAAACTAAATGTCAAAAGCTGAAGAAGGTGGAATATAAAATTTTGGTAAGAGGCGATAATCTGAGAGCAAAAAAAGGAAATAGTTTCATTCTAATTTTAATGAACTGTTCTTAAGTACTAGAATATTATTGAAGTTTCTGGTTTGCTATGACTTTGCGTATATCATTTGAACCGATGTTATTTGGTGCTCAGATTTACCTAGGCAAATTTCCAGAAGAAGAAAATTGCGAATATCGTTCTAAGCTTGCAGAACTCTAAGCATTATTTATAAGCCCGAAACATTAAATTTTAAAAATAAAATTTTTTATTGGACGTTTGGGTGAACAGAGCTTAATAGCTGTTAATTTTAACAGTTTAAGCTTTTTAATAATTTTAAAATGTAAATCAATGAACAAACCAATTTCCATCCACATCAAGTAAAAATTATTTTATTCTTTAAAAAATTACTGAATGAAAAATTAGTAAATAATTATGGGTCTAGAAATTACATTTTGATCTTCCACCATTTTAACTAATATTCATCTCTATTGTATGTATGTATAAATATTTTAAAATTACCTATTTTTTCGATGGTGAATACATTTTTGATTTATTATTTGACTATCTTCAGAACCACTTGGTATAATAGATCCATCAACATCACTGATACCTCCTTTATTATTACCAACAATATTACCACCAATTACTAATCCTATAGAACTTGAATCATTTGTATCTGAATGCAAATTATTATGATGTTGTAACTGATGTTGATTACAATTATTGCTATTACTACTACTTTTATTACAATCACAGATATCATCAATATTATCTATATCATTATCATCATCATCATCCTCTAATGTTGAATCAAGAGCTTGATATTGATGTTGATGCTCTTGTTGTTGTTGCTTTTGAATATTATTATTATTTTTATTATTATTCTGTTGATTCTGTTGGTGTACAGTAACGTGAGCAACATGAGTTTCACCACTTATTTGCCTATTTTCATTTAAATCATCTAAATTTGAATGGGTAGAATGTAAACTATTTCGTATATTATGTGTACATGAACCAGTAATATCACCAATATTATTTTGTGAAGAAGGAGTTAATATATCACCACAACAGACTCCTTTATTTATGATATTACATCCACCAATAGTATCAACAACGGGAATATTGCTATTACCATTTAAAAGTCCTTGTGTACCAATATTTATTATCCTATTATTTGTGTGCTGATGATGATATTGTTGCTGTTGCTGCTGTTGTTGTTGTATTTGCTGTTGTTGCAATGGATTAATATGACGATGATGTAAATGATTATATTGATGTATGCATGGGCATGTTGAATTATTTGCTGAATTTGTATTAACTGATGATGGTGTAATTAACTCTAATGTTGTTGTTGTAGGGGTAACATTAGAATGATGATGATGGTGATGATGGTTATGCATATGATTTACTGAATGGTGGTGATATCCTTCATTAGAATCGTTTGGACCAGAATTTGATATTTCGTTTAAATGAGCTTGCGACATATTCATTAGTTTTTAAAAAAATATTTTATTTACCATCTGCTTATATTTAGAATTTTAATTCTCGTATATTTTTTCACAATTTGGAAAATTGTTTTCACTATTCGGTACATTGGTATTATGATTTTCGTTTGATGTGATGAAATGAATTTTTTAGTAAAATATTTGCTTTTTAAGGATGAATCTTAATTCCATTGCTGTTAATTTAAAATTCAATACTCCAAAAGCATTTCTCTCCCAAATTTTTTTTGACAGTAAATTCGAATATTTTTTTATGAAATACGTTTCTGAAAAAAAAAAATATAAAAATGTTACTAGATTTTTAATTTTTTAAATTTATTATTGAAGGGGGACAAGTTTGAATTAGAAAAATTTATTGTGGTAAGGATATGACCAACTGCAATTTATATTATCCAGTTTCCCGAAAGTATTACAGAAGATTATGAAAATTTTTTTTAAACTTTTCTTCTAATTTTAAGGAAGTAAATGAATTTTTAGTTAACGTACTTGGAATATTGTAAATTTGGCTCTTAGTACGGTTTCGCTTTGTGTCATCTGAAAGTTCGCCAGTTAGTTTAATAACTAGAACTTAGATATCAAATAGCAAAAAATTCCATTAATCCATTCCGTAGATATGGCAAAAATGTAAAATCGACCCCTACTTCGACTTCCGAGCCCTTATATTTTAACAAAATTTATGAGTTCATTGTTTTAACACCACGAATTTATATATTAAATTTCAAGAAAATTGGTTACTTATTTCTTTTTACATGCAACAACTTAAATCTGTATGAAAAATAGCGATTTGAGTTCGCAGTTTCAGGAATAGGCGACTTTTCTGAAATCAGATTCGTTGCGAATCAGATTTATTGTTACCATTATTAGACAAGTCTTCATTCTTTGAAGTTCTTCTATATTATTGGAAGTGATGCACGTATAGTTTCAAATATAATTCAGAGATCTCATATTTCCTTGTAACTTAATTAAAAAGTTATGTAAACAAGTAAATAACGAACATATTCCAGCTCTTCATATTATATATTTATTATTTTTATTCTACGAATATTTTTTTAAAAATTACTAATAACAAAACAATTATTCTAGCCATATTGCTTTTAAAATAATTACTAAAAATAAGTAAACCATACCTAGATTCACTATAATGACATCATCTATATTATTGCAATCCATAGAATATTTTAAGTATATTTGAGGTTTTTTTTTGTTTACTTTGAATAGGCACCACAAAATTGATGAAATCCAAAAACTAACTGCACAATAATTTTATAAATAAATGTTTATATGCGATATTTTGATTAGTACACGATATATAGGTACAAAATACATACGTATGTACATATATTGATTTACTAAATAAAATTAAACAAAATATTGATGGGGTAAGTGTTACAAATAAAAGCCACCGGTTCCATACATTTTCATTTATGAATGTGCGAATAATGAATTTTGTAGATTGATTTAAGAGTATGGAAAGGAAAACAAACAAAAATAAATTTTATAATGATGGAGTGGTTGTTTTTTTATTGTCACTTTTAATTGAAATTGAAAATTTTATTTAAATAAATATTTTTGTTTCGCGGTATTTTTTTTATTCTGGGTTAAAAATAATGGATTAATGTAAATTAAAATAAAATATATTGGTTTTTTCAATTACATTTTTTACATTTATTTCACATTATTTAAAGTGATTTTCTGTGTTTTATTTTTAAGTAAATTAATTTTCATTGATGCTTGTAATTATATGAAGACGGACTATAGAATATAATCCTAATTGAAAATTCATAAAATTTTAAAAATTAAAAAGAAATTTAAGATTTTGTGCAAGTTAAACGAATTGTGCCTACAAAATATCTTATTTTTAGAGAATAAAGTTTGAGAAATTTTCTCTTTGAAGCTATGAGATTGACGCCGACTATTTTATGTGCTAATATCTTAGGCTAAACCTAGTTTTCCCTTAACTTTTAAAGTGATAAGAAAATTTTAGGAAAATTAAAATATAAGACTTGGAATTAAATACAGAATTATTAAAAACGAAAACTGGTTTACAATTAACACTGGAGAATGGCACTCAACTAAACACAAGTTAAAGACAATATTCTCCAATAGGTTAAATGTTGTTACTTTCGACCACAAATTTGAAAAGATCAAATAAACTATGTCGTTCCCAACAATTAAATAATTGTAGTAGAGCGTATGAAATTAGCCCAAAATCTTTTCCCACGATCGGTAACTTTTCTTTAGTTCGCTGGATTTAGAAAATCTTATTTATAATAAAATGCGATCTTAAAATATTAAAACGCGTTTTATTCGAAAATATTGAAAAACTTCTTTAGTACTTGAAATATAATATAATAATTCTCATTCACTCTAATGAACTCATAGTTCCTTTATATAAGTCGTATGTGAGCCTCATTTTGTCTACCAAAAAAATTGTAATCTATTTACATACATACATGCATTATTTTATAGAATTTTTTACTTATTTTAAGTTATCAAAAAGCGGAGACATAGTTTAGTCTGTAAATATGCAAATTTTTCGTATTTTATACGAAATCATAATTTATGAGAAAAGAACTTTTAAAAACCAAAACAAAATATCTGATGTGATCAGCATATAACCGAATTTCTAGCGCGGACAGTAAAAGTTACTTCAATAAATTATAAATTAATTGTAGGTAGAACCATTTCCAATTTTAGTTTATTATAAAATTTAAGCATTATAGGAATGCTTAAATTTTATAATAAACTAAAATGAATTCAAAATATATTTTATTAAAATAAAAGAAAAATTAGAATCATCAACTTAGAATCAGCAAAGTTCAGAAATTTTACAATTGCACATTTTTTTTGGGAGTAGTTTTAAATGGTTCATACATCTAAAAATTTTTAGATCGTTCTTATTTTAAACTGTGATAGAATCACAGGTGTAATTCATAGATTTATCGATAAAAAATAAATTATATCTTGAGCATAAATTACAAAAACTACCAAATTCCGAAAGAATTCGCAGCATTTTAATGATAATAATTAAGACAACTTTCAAAAAATCTACATTGACAATGTAATGTACATAGTAGGGGATTATAAAGAAAACTTAATGTTTGCAAAGTGTTAGGAAAAAACCAAATCAGTGAGAATATTTAAAACTTGAATGAAACTACAAAAAATAGTAACTTTAGGGACAAATAACTTCCTACTTAAACAAAATCAGTTTGGCATTTAGCTCTTTTAAATTAACTCTATATATGGGATTGAATATGGCCGTAATGTTAGTTGACATTATTTTTGCTTTCTGCTAAAAACAAAAAACACCAAAAATAATATAGGCAGTCCATTGAAACATAATATTAAAATAATATTCAAGTAGTATGGAACTAAAAAATTGTATTGAATTCAATTTCTTTTGTTATAGGACTCGTAAAGATTGCTATATATTCATGAAAATTTTCAGATTTGAAATCAAATGGCATTTAATTTAACATATATGGAAAATTCATTTAAAATACGAATTTAAAAACTTGAATCTAAAATATTCACAAGCCCTCAAATACACATATTATATGAGTATAAGATGAATATGAATTTGAAAATAAGGGGATAAAAAATTCCGAACTAGTACAATATTTTTCTTTTTTTTATAACATAAGAAATCGAATGTATATACGAACGCAAAAACGCCATTATTTATTTTTTATCCTTTATATTTTATAAATTTCGCTAAGTTATATTTTTTCTCTCTTCTTTTCCTTTCATTTTGTTTTTCCACCCCCTTTATTGAATAAATCATTAGAAAAGACATAAAATCGTTCGTTTTGCATACTGAATGCTCTTAAACAATTTTTATATACAATAAAAGGACTATTGAAAGCATCTGTATTCGAAAATATTAATATGTTGTATGTTCTATCACATAATATGAGAAAAAATAGAAAAGAAAAATATGTTTTAAAAATGATGACAAATACGGCATTGAACTTTCAAATGGAGCATATATCATTGATTGAAAATATATTATTCACCTATTCTATACAAAAAAAGTTTTATGAAAGAAAAGTTAGCGAGTAAATGAGCGAAAAAGAAAAGGTAAAAATATAAGATGAGTTTAAGAATTTAAATTGATTTTCGAATCAGAATGCTAGAAAGAAAAAGAAAAATCAAATAGCTCAAATGTTTTATTTTATAGAAAAGAAAAATCTTTCTTCTCATTCCTTATTCCATTTATGCCATTAAATAGTGATTTTATATAATAAAACACACTTCGCAAATATAAAAAAATTTTAAAGATAAAAATCGACAATATTCAATATTCAATTTTATATTTTTTTTTGTACTGAATTGGAATCGCTAATAATTTTAGCACGAATATTTTATTAAACACACCAAGCTTTCTTACAATTTATAAATGTAACTTAAAATGAGATTACGTTACTCCAACTGAGACCTCCAGAGTACATTGGAGTACAATGTAACTTAAAGTGAGAAAGTCAATACTACGTTATTCTAAGTTTTATATTAACCAGTTTCTTCCAATCAAATAGATAATAGCCATCCTGTTCAATGATCGGGTTATGGATAAGTTCAATATGACATACATATAATGACATTCACAAGTAATTTTTATAATAAATTTGAGTATCAATTACAGTCACATCACAAAACCAAACGATATTATTGTAATTTTTCTATGTACTTGAGTTAAAAATTTATTATGGAAGTGCAGGCTTTTGACTCCCAAGAAAATTCAATGCTAATTGAAGTGTTTGAAATTTTTAAAAGTTTAATCCTACACTAAAATTCAGCTTTTTAGACGTTTGTGATAGTGCAATTTCAACACTCGCAAAAATGTCTAATTGTTTTTTTTCTATTATAAATATTGAGGAAATTTCGCTGTGGTAACATTTATGATAATATTTGAAATTGTTTGTGATGAATAACAAATTCTAAACTTAGAGTTTAATGCTATGGGCAGTTTCTATAAAGCT